ACCAAGGACAGTATAAAGAGCTTCAGGCACATCTCCAAACATCTGAATTATAGGGATGCCAGAAGGAGAAGAGGAAGAGAAAGAAATTGAAACTTATTTGAAAAAATAACAAAAGAAAACTTTCCTAATTTGGTGAAGGAAATAGACATACAAGTCCAACGAACAAAATGAGTCCCAAACAAGTTGGATCCAAAGAGGACCACACCAAGATACATCATAATGAAAATGCTAAAGGTGAAAGATAAAGAGAGAATCTTAAAAGGAGCAAGAGAAAAGCATAGTTTTACCTGCATAGGAGTTCCCATTAAGTTTATCAGCTGATTTCTCAAAAGAAACTTTGCAGGCAAGAAGGAACTGGCAAGAAGTATTCAAAGTGATGAAAAGCAAGGAACTACAATGTAGATTACTCTATCCAGCAAAGCTATTATTTAGAATGGATGGAAAGATAAAGTGCTTGCCTGACAAGATAAAATTAAAGGAGTTCCTCATCACTAAGCCATTATTATATGAAATGTTAAAGGGACTTATTTAAGAAAAAGGAGATCAAAACTGTGAACATGAAAATGGCAACAAATTCACAACTATCAAGAACTGAGCCTAAAAAACAAACTAAACAAACTAGAAGAACAGGAATAGAATTATAGATGTGGAGATCACATGGAGGGTTACCAGCTGGGAGGAGGAGGAGGAGAAAGGGGGAAAAGATGCAGGGATTAAGAAGCATAATTGGTAGGCACAAAGTAGATGGGGATATTAGGAATAGTATAGGAAATGGAGAAGCCAAAAAACTTGTATGTATCACCCATGGACATGAAATAAAGTGGGGGTTGTTGCTGGAGGGAATGAGAGTACTAAGCAGAGGAGGACAAATGGCAAAAACTGGGACATCTGGCCCTGGCTGGTGTAGCTCAGTGGATTGAGCGCGGGCCTGCGAACCAGACAATCATGGTTCGATTGCCAGTCAGGGCACATGCCTGGGTTGCAGACCAGTTCCCTGCAGGCCAGTTCCCAGCAGGGGATGCACGAAAGGCAACCATACATTGATGTTTCTCTCCCTCTCTCCTTCCCTTCCCCTCTAAAGATAAATAAATAAAATATAAAAAAAAACTGCGACATCTGTAATAGCATAATCAATAAGATATATTTTTAAAAAATGTTCATACTAGCCAAGATAACCTACATATTCAATTCAATTTCCATCAAAATGCCAATTGTATTTTGTACAGAAACAGAGCAAACAATCCTAAAATTTGTGTGAAACCACAAAAGATCTCAGGTAGCCAAAGAAATTTCAAGGAAGAACAAAGCAGGAGACATTATGCTCCCTGATTTCAAAATATACTGCACATCAGTAGTAACCAAAGGAGTATGGTGCTGGCATAAAAACAGCCTCACAGTTCAATGGAACAGAATCAAAAGTCCAGAAATAAACCTACATGTATGTCATTAATTTATGACAAAGTTGGTCAAGGACCATCTCTTCAATAAATGGTGTTGGGAAAACTAGACTGACCCATGCAGAAGAATGATACTGGATGCTCTCTTACACTCTATACAAAAGCTAACTCAAATGCATTAAAGACTGACTGTAGAACCTGAAACTATAAAGCTAGAATAAAACATAAGTTCCCTGATTTGGTCTTGGTAGTGATTTTGGGGAGATTTGACACTCAAAGCAAAGATAATATCAAAATAACAATAACAACAACAACAAAAATAAACTGATAAAAAAGTGGGCAGAGAATCTGAAAAGACATTTTTTTTTCCCCTGAAGAAGACATACAGATGGCGAACAGGTACATAAAAAGGTGCACCACATCACTAATCTTCAGGAAAATGCAAAGCATTTTTTTACCACAAAAAATGATAATTTCACACCTGTTAGGATGACTATTATCAAGAAATAATAAATGTTGGCAAAGATATAGAGAAAAGGAAACCCTTGTGCACTGTTGATGGGAATGTAAATTGGTGCAGTTACTATGAAAACCAGTATCGAGGTTCCTGAAAAATTAAAAATAGAACTAGCATTTGATATAGTAATTCTACTACAAAGTATTTATTCGAAGAAAATGAAAACACTAATTTGGAAAGATATATGTACCCTCATGTTCATTGCAGCATTATTTACAATGGCCAAGACATACCTGAGAGTCCATAGATGGAAACTAGATAAAGAAAATGTGGTATATAGAAACAGTGGAATATTATTGAGCCATGAAAAAGAAGGAAATCTTGCCATATCTAACAACATGGGTGGACCTTGAGGGCATTCTGCTAAGTTAAAAAGCTCAGATGGAGAAGAATAAGTACTGTACAATCTCACATATATGAACCAAAATAAAGAAAAAAGAAAAAAACAACAAAACTATATTATGGTGATGTTATTAACTAGACTTATTTTGTTGATTGTTTTCTAATATATACAGATATCAAATTATTACACTGTAGACACAAAACTAATATGTCAATTATATCTAAAAAAAGTTTAAAGGTCTATATGGTGGTTCGAATTATGGTACCAACTGGAAATGTAGGGTTGCCGTATACAGTTGTATGGGTTGTACATTGTATAACTCCAAGGTGCTTTATTTGCTCTGGAGTCTCCATGTCCCTTTGGAAAGCCTTTCGTAGTGGTATGTTCTCAGGTCATGGAGCTATTTCATAAACCCTGTATCAGATGACTGCGATCTCTTGGAGCATACTAAAGTGGCTAATAATTGTTCCTACAGGTTTTTCAAGCAGAAGTCCTATAATATTCATTCTAAATTATTTCTAAGAATTCCTATAATATTCTAGTTGGAGCAAAGATTAAAATGTCAATGTTTCTAAAAGTAAGTACTCTCAAATTAAAAAGACACCTGAATACAGAAATAAGGACAGTTGGCATAGGGAGAAAGTTTCTTCCTTTCCACCAGGCTGCAGACATAAGAAGTCTTAAAAGGCTTGGTTAAATGGTAACCAGAAAACATTCAGCAGACTCAAAAACCTCTTAAGACCTAAATTCCTTTATGCTTAAAAATCTTAAACCATCTAATTTGTGTGTAGAAGATGTCCAACTAGAGGGATAAAAGTCTGTTGAACTAAAAAAAAAAAAGTTGACAAGTGACATCTCAGGCCATAAATTATGAATCAATTTATCATCAAAGTATTTCTGTGGTCAGATATTATCCCAGAAGCAAAGTTTTGTTTACATGTTGAAAAGAGTGATCTTTGTCATCTTGCACAAGTCATAACTCAAACTCTGGCCTCTAAGTAAGTATTCGAAGCCTATGCGCTGGATCTCCACTCTGACTGTGCTATTTAGGGAACCTTTGAAAAATCATTTAATTTCTCCAAATCTCAATTTTATTTTCTATATAATGTAGATGGTAGTTTTTTACATGGTTGTCTGATATTATAAATGCAAGGACTTTCTAGCAGGCTGAGAGAATATCAGGAAACCTATGTAAGCTGGAAATGTTTACTAACAATTGAACTTTTAGTTACACTTTTAGTAGAGGACCATTTTAGCAATTTTTAAAATCCCTATGGTTAATTCTTCCAAATACTGATTTCTGAAGTTCAATGTATTTGAAACTAATTGTTGTTCCCTGGACACTGAGAAGCTATCATTCAGAATCAGCTATATCAACTGCTGTTCAAGCTTTGTTCTTTAGAAAAGGGATCTTTACCTTCCTCTGGCATTCAAAAGGTATCAATAAGTGAACATCATTATGCTGCAGGAGTTTACACAGAATGAATAATAAATGGCAACCACATAACCGCTGCTCACAATTCAGGTCATGCCTATTGGCTTCTGCTAGGTAACAATGCCCATACAGAAGGCTAAAACCGTGAGCCTAAGGACACAGTAGTGGAGGAACTGAATATAAAGAAATAGTAGATGTTGATGACAGGGATAGGGGAAACAAAGATTATAACACCAATCTTTATTACCAGGAATGTTACAGTTGAAAGAAACTTTAGAAATACAGTCTTTGGTTCAGTTCTGGAGCCTCTCTCTTCACTGTCCGCACTACCTAATGAACTCATTTGTTCTCATGGTGTTAAATCTTATCTACACACTGGTAACTCCCCAGTGTTTATCCCCACCCAGATTTTCTTCTGAATTCTGATTCGTATTCCCATTTGTGAGGATATCTAATAATCATCTCAAATTCAAAATGTCCCAATCTTACTCCTGATATCTCAGCTGCCAAATAATCACTTAAGTCTTTCCCTTCTCAGTTGATGATAATTCCCTCTTTCCAAGTGGATAGGCCAAGCACTCCTCTCATCTGCTCAGAATCCTTTCATAGATTCCTGTCTGACTCAGGGTACAAGCCAAGTCTTTCTGCTGATCTGGGTTTCTGCTATCTCTCCCACTTCAGCTCTCCCACGCTTCCACCTTCTCATTTACAGCTGTTTCCCTGGTCCCAACAGGAAAGCTATCACTTCCTGCTGCTGCACTCTCTTATTCCCTACCCCAGATTTTCAACAGGCTCTTCCCTTGCTCATCTTAGGTCTCTGCTTAGAGGACACATTAACAATAAGGCTTTCACTGACCACCCTACCCCTAGTTCAGCCCCAACAACACTGTCTACCCTCCTTTGCTGATTTATTTTATTCCATAGCAACTTGCTACCAACTGAATATAAGGAAAGGGTGCATACAAAAATAACCAGTGAATGCACGAATAAGTGGAACAACAAATCTCTCTCTCTCCCCCACCTCCAAAGTTAATAAATTAAAAAAAGAAAGACAAGTTCAATTGCTCATTTACAGGTGAAAAAACTAGGGATCAGGGAAGCCCTGTGCCTTGTATTTGATTTCATATTGGAAAGGAGAGAACCTCCTGAAAAGCCTCCAGTTCCCACTGTCCTTCCAGCATTGTCCTCACCACACCATCTGCTCGTAAGCTTTCTGGAGCATTCAGAAAGGTCCATAATAAGTGTTAACTACTAATTTTTTTCCTTCTCTATAATTCACACAGAAGAAAAATCCCATTTTTTTCTTACCTTTATTTGCTCAATCAGTGTTTCATTTTCTGGCACATCAGGGTCTATAGCAATAACAATGCCTTCATAGCCATTGTTATTCAGCTGAACAAAGGAAGCATTGGACTCCTGCAGCAGGCATAGGACTAAGAGGAAGACAAAGCTTCTGAATAACACCATTGATCCTCTTAGGTTGTTCCTGGCCTCAGTGTTGGTTTGTTCAAAAGGCTAGTCTATCACCTCTCTCTGTGTCTGTCTCACTCTCAATTTCTGTGTATTTATACCCACACTCTTAACTCAATGGGTGTGACTGCTTATGGGTCAGACATTGCATAAAGATAAGAGTTGCATAATCATTTTGTTGTACTGTGAAAGAGATCAGAAAAGTAAAAATAGAACTTGTTACAAAATACACATTTTTGACTTGGGAAGATTTTTCTGTACTTTCTAATTTTAGTTAATTTCCTAAATATGGACATGTACTTTGTGTTTTCTATAGAGTGCAATATGGAAATTAATAAAATTTTATAATGAAATGAATAGAAATGATAATGCTAATGTTGTTTTTCAGTTTTACAAAGCAATTTAATTATTGTTTAGCTTATTTACCAAAGGTATAAATAATGAAAAAGAATATTAAATTATTAAATGTAAATAACATCAAATTAGGTAAGATGTCCTTGAAATATAAACTAAAAAGTTTAAATACTTTGATAAATTAAGGAAAACTTGGCAAAGTTAGAGTAAAATTTTTAGAACTCCTGCCCAGTAAAGAATAAATAGAATCTGCTCTAATAGAAGCATATTTTAAAAAGTCTGGTAGAATGATAACTATAATTTTTAAGAAAAGAGGCTGGTAATATGCTGGTTCCTATTAAAGCAGAGTGAATAATATTAACCCTTAATATTTATTTAGTGCTGACCAGCACAGAGATTCTCTCACTTAATCCTCACCACAGCTCTCCAAGATTAACCCTGAATATTATCTCCATCCAGTATGCAGAACTAAGGCTCTCAGACTTTCAGTAACGTGCCAAGATCACATAAGTTGTAAATGACGGAGTCAGGGTCTGTGCCAAGAATTCCCACCTCAGAATGCATGGATTTAATTACTTTACAATAAGGTAATCTTGTTCTGTAAGGCAAATAATATAACAAAAAAATTTTTTTAAAGGAGGAAGGGGGTCAGTTTAGGAGTTGTGATGATGAATTAAGTATGTCTAGTCCTAAAGAAAAAATAGCCAGTTCTTGTCAGAAACCCAAAAGAGAACTGCAAATATAGTAGCAGAAAATGTCTTTAAATTAAAAGTTCAGATAGGAGGAGATTTGTGTTGCATTTTGAACAAGGAACATCCTCAAGATAGAGGTATCGTCATACATACCCAGACTCTGCCCTTATAGGCAGCATCCCACCCACCCTCCTTCCGTTCCTTCAGGGATATATAGGATAAGTATAGTAGCATAGAGAGTTAGCTAATTATTAATAAAGAAGAGAGAGAACAAAGGAAGTTACACATTGAGTTTAATAAACTGGGGAGCATAAGCCTGTTTGCTTCACCAGGAAGCAATGGCTTCACACCCCAGGGGATTACAGCATTTCTCCACCAAGGAGATTTACACTCCTCCCACCTCCCCTCTGGTATCATATTGTTGGGTGGGGGGTGCAATGGCAGGAGCTTGACCAGGGAGGCCTGTCAGTGTAACTAGGGATTGTGAACCTAACCAAGCAAAAGCTTGATTTGTTGTTTTGGAAAAGGACCTGGTCTGTGCCAAATCCAAGCTAATATAATATCAGGGGAACTAAGAAACTGTCTCTCTTTCTTTCTTGTGACCTGCACTCACCCTGTTCTTTCACACATACTCTGTCACCAGGGAGCACAAGGCCACATGGGCCTGCAGCAGATGATCTGGGCTCCGAAGGATTAAACCTTAATATGAAGCAGAAACTCTGGATACTGGCTTTTGTTTTGGCCAAGATACAGTTGGATGGAGGGAGATGGTACATTGGAAATAGGGACAAATTTCTACTCAAAAAAACCTTGCCTTTCCATGATCTGTGCGTGAGTCATTGGAATGTTTTCCTTGGAATTCCCTGGAAGGGTCATTGGAATGTTTTCCTTGGAATTCCCTGGAAGGGTCATTGGAATGTTTTCCTTGGAATTCCATAGAAGAGCCTGATTTCCAGGTAATTGGAATGTTTTCCTTGTAATTCTATGTGAATGGGTAATTGGAATGTTTTCCTTGTAATTCCATGGAAGAGCCTGATTTCCACTGGCAACAATTGTACATTCACAGAATTAATATGTTGTACAAAATATAGGATGGAACTGTTGGCACTGGCAACCCCAGAGAAACCGTTATTTTCTGGAGGGGAGAGGGGACTGTACATTTAATAAATCTATCCTAGGCAGTCTTGTTCTGGTTCCATCACTGACCTCTCTTCCATTTATCTCTTCCTCTCCCTGACCTCTGGATTGGGGCTTCAAACATGCTTCCATCCCATAGAGTTGGTGCTCAGGAAGTTCTTACTGACTCATGGATGAATCAGTGAATGATTATCATTTTAACCTAAAGTAACAACATATCACAATTCCTAAACAGAAGATTGTCCAAGGCCTTTGAAATGTTGGAGAGAACTGGGGCACTCAGATCTCCTCTAGTGTTTGGGTCAGTGCCTAGACTATTTTGAGGGGATGCTATTAGTCCTACAATATAATTGGGAAAAAATTTAAATATATTTTATTGATTATGCCATTACAGTTGTCCCATCTCCCTCCTTCATTCTCCTCCACCCTGCACACCCTCTCCCACCCACCTTCCCCCTCTTTAGTTCAGGTCCATATGTCAGAAGTTCTTTAGCTTCTAAATTTCCCGCACTACTCTTGCCCTCCCCCTATTTTCTCCCCACTGTCTATGCTACTTATTCTCTGTACCTTCTCCCCCTCCCCTGTTGCTAACTGTTGGGGACCACTCTGCCTGGTTTCAGGAGTTGTAACTACCTCCCATGGCTAAGAATGAGTGAGCAACCTCCAGAATGTAAGCCACGAAGGAGACAGAGCTTGTCTCTGGTAGCAAACGCTGCCTCAGATTACCCCATTGCCCCCAAAACATGGTTGGCTAGTCCATGACAGGTACCACCCCTCAGAGGAGGAGCAACCTAAGCTGGACATGATCACTTGGGAGGCCATCATGGAATAACTCCGGGGGCTGTGACAAAGAGGGAGCAATGGACCCTTGTCCCCCAGTTATTCTGACATAGCCTGAGTCCCTGTGTCCTCTGGGAGAAGCACTTCCTGGCTCTAATCCACTTAAGCCTGGAAACCTATGATGGGAGAGGTGGTGCAGCTCCTTGCCTTGCTAGAGCGGTATCCCCGGTGATCAGGCATAAGAAAGAATTCCTTAAAGTCCTTGTGAAGGCAACTTTTCCCGCAAATCCCTGCATCCACCACAGGTAAGAGGAAACAAGACATGATCTGCTTGGGGAGGTGAGGTGACCAATCCCTCCAAAGGGAAGAGCCTTGAGCAGTGGCCAGTTTATCAGGGGGAAAAGGCCTGGAGGCCCTTCCTCCAGGGGCTTTCATTGGGTTGTAATACACAGGAATACAGGCTGGTAAAGATCAAACAGTAGATAACATTTCAAAGAAATCTGAGGGTTTAGTCTGAGTCAGAGTCTGTCAGGCAGAGAGTTTCGCAGAAACTTTTAGGGTTTCCTGATTGGACCCTTAATATATGAATGAAACCATTCTTAGTAGAGCAGATTTCATAAGTTTATCAGGAATTCTTTGTGATGCCAGATTTTTCTCTGGGACATGCTCTAGCAAGGCAAGGAGCTGCACCCCTCCCCATCAGGTATTTAGGCTTAAGTGGATTACCTAGCCTGGAGGACAAGGGTTCATTGCTCACTCTTTGTTGCAGTCCTCTGAGTCCTTCCATGATGGCATTCCAAGTGGTTGAGTCTGGCTAGGTTGCTCCCCGCTGTGAGGAGACTTACCGGTCATAGACTTTGACCATGCTTTGGGGGCAGGGAGAGGCAACTGAGGCAGCATTTGCTACTAGAGTCAAGCTCTGTCTCCTTTGTGGCTCGCATTCTGGCGGTCACTCGCTCATCCTTAGCTATGGGAGGTAGTTACAATTTCTGAAACCAGGCAGAGTGGTCCACAACAAGTCCTGTGAAACCTGCTTTGATAAGAGTGCTTTCATTCATATGTTAAGGGTCTGAGCAGGAAATGAGTATGTCTCCCAAAGTTTCTGCAACCCCATTTCCTGACAGACTGATTCAGACTAAGCCCTCAAATTTCTTTGAAATGTTATCTACTGTTTGATCCTTACCACCTGTATTCCTGTGTATTACAACCCAATAAAAGCCCATGGAGGAAGGGGCTCCTGGACTGTTTCCTCTGAGAAATTGGCCACCTCTCCTCCCCAAGCAGATCATGTCTTGGTAGTGTTTACTTTCATATGTGGTGGATGGGGGGACTTGAAGGCAAAGTCACCCCCACAGCTAACCTTCCATGTGATCTTCTATTTCTGTGGCTCCACTCCTGTTTTAGGTGTCTGCTTAATTTGCTTTTGTTTTAGGTGTGGTTGTTAATAACCATCAGTTTGCTGTCCATTCACTGTTCATATTTTTATCTTCTTTTTCTCAGATAAGTCCCTTTAACATTTCATCTAATTAAGGCTTGGTGATGATGAACTCCTTGAACTTGACCTTATCTGAGAAGTGCTTTATCTACCCTTCCATTCTAAATGAAAGCTATGCTGGATAGAGCGATCTTGGATGTAGGTCCTTGCATTTCATGACTTGGAATACTTCTTTCCAGCCCCTCCTTGCCTGTAAGGTCTTTTTTGAGAAATCTGCTGACAGTCTGTTGGGAACTCCTTTGTAGGTGACTGTCCCCTTAGCTCTTGCTGCTTCTAGGATTCTCTCCTTCATTTTAATCTTGGCTAATATAATGATGATGTGCCTTGGTGTGTTTCTTCTTGGGTCCAACTTCTTTGGGACTCTCTGAGCTTCCTGGATTTCCTGGAAGTCTATTTCCTTTGCCAGATTGGGGAAGTTCTCCTTTAGTATTTGTTCAAATAAGTTTTCCACTTGTTGCTCTTCCTCTTCCCCTTTTGTTACCCCTATAATTCGGATGTTGGAATGTTTAAAGATGTCCTGGAGGTTCCTAAGCCTCTCCTCATTTTTTTGAACTCTTGTTTCTTCATTCTTTTCTGTTTGATTGTTTCTTTTTTCTTCTGGTCCACTT